AATAGTGGTTAGTGATTCTGACTGCTGTACCGAAGGGCCCGGACTCGAATGCAGGAGAAGGCATGGATGTTTGTAAATGTACAGTGTCTGTGCGGCATGGTGGCACTCTTAATATATGGCGAGCGAAAGTCATCGACAGAGGTTAGTCGTAGGGGAAGAGTCATAGGAGACCCTTTAACCCGTCCTCTTGGGGTGCTCTCCTTCAAAATTCGGGAGTGGAACTGAGCGGAACTATGCTATAGTCCGTTTCATTCGGCATAACCAAGAAACAGAAATTAATATAAAATTTTTACTACTGAAATTACAATTTTGAATAATATTATTGTTACATTAAACATTCATATATATATATATCTTACATTAATCATTCGCATTTCTTCTAAGCGAATCGATCAGCAACCTTGAGCACTACGCTAATTAGACTTTGCGCAAAGCAACGTGTTAATTTTTAAAGAGTAGCCATTAACGCTGCTTTACCGTCGCACAATACATCACATTACTATTTCAAAACTTTTATACGGCGGAGTGTGTAATGGCCTATTGACTATTATTACTTAATGAAATAATTTTACTGTTGTAGGCATAAAATAGTTACTGATTTCAATGTGCTGATTCGTAATTTACTGATTCGTGCTGTAACTATGTCAATGTTTTTATGTTCAGCTGCCCTACTTTGTTAACAGATTTTTCTGTAGTTCTGAGCTATCGAATAATTCCGACTATCTGAATGGCAATTTTTTTTTTAAAATCAGATATGTCGAGGCTTTATTCTTTTAATTTTTATTTAAAAAATTCTTAGAGGGCATTTTTATAGTTACCACTAAATTTACTTTCATATTCGGAAATGGAACCAGCAGCGGTTGAGCGGTAAAGTCTCTGAACACAGGTAGTTCGATCTGTGGTTCGAATCCCATGGAATGGGCTAGCTGCATGACTGTTTTCGAGGTTTTCCCCATGTGTAACGTGTATGCAAGGCAGTTACCCTTAGAATCTCATCCACAAAAGTATCGCTCCCTCTGGGCACATAGCCCTCGAGTGCTTTGCCGTATTTAAGTGAAACAAACCACATTCCAGAAATTTTTAGATCTTGTTGAATTTTTAAATCTCCTAAAAATTTTTGGATATTAGATTCTTTTCACTTCTGATTTTAATTAGTTCTGTGGTTAGTAAATTTCGAGACATAAAATAACAGATATTTTATTTTTGGTTGTATGAATTAAGATTCACACGTTTTAATGAGAATCTTGAGTGGTTCTGTACTTCCTTTTTACTTTAATAAAAGATAAATTTTTAAAAAAATTACTTTAGAAACACAAATGTGATTATGTGGCTTGCTGAACGATTAGGTGTCGGATTATTGAATTTTTGCTTTAAATAAATAGTATATTTTACTCTTAATCGCGCCAGTCAGAAAAGTGCTGAACTTTCATTCCTTTAACCTGTTAACAGTTAATAATTAAATAGTTTTTTTAATACTGGTTTCGATACTTGCAATCCGAGATTTCCCGCTGTTTATCTTTCGAAGTGTACTGGAACCTTTGATTTGAAATCCGCGCCAAATAAAGACTGGTTTGTGCCAGTTATTAAATTAGCGTGCATTTCTTCGTGTCATTTAAAATTGGGGATTTCATTCTACTAATCTGAATACATGACAATCTATACAATTTTTTTTAAAATTTGTTTCTTAAGTTTCGAAATATGTAATTTATTTAATCTTCCATATTATTACTGAAGAAGTTTTAATGCTATCTGCAAACGCTGAAGCATTACCACGCTGATATTGTTCGAATTCTTGTGGCCATTTGTGAAAAATGGTTTGAATTACATGATCATAAGAAAGCACACTAAGAAATGTTTTCGTGGAGAACATTCTAAGAAATATTTGTCTAGTTTTTAAAAACGGCAGATAGGGAAATCATCGAATAACTTATGCAGTCAGCTGTTTTCAACCACTGAAGTGTTAGCAGCTTCAATCTTGGCCATCAGTTCTGCCTCAACTGGATAAAAGGATAAAACAGTGGAGTCGTTTTGAATTTGATGTCTTATGACCAGGGCCGTTCCTAGCGGTGATACACTGCGTGAAAGTACAGCGGCTGCAGTTTGTCATATGTAAGCACTTAGTGCGTATGAAATAAAAATGTTATATTTTTTTATTATTATTATTTTATTTGGGGGCGGCAATTTTAGGAAATTGCGAGGGCAGCTAATGGCCTAGGAACGGCCCTGCTTGTGACTGAACGAATTGACTGCATTGAGTTTTAACTGTGTATTATATGAATACTAGACATATTACACACGAGTAGAATATGCATTCAGGACGATTAAAATTCAGAAGTTTCTAAGGAAACTTGACTCACAGTCATCTTACGAAAAACCACGTGGTAGAGAAAACCACGAAAACCGCATTGGACCACATAGTTACTCAGGATAGGAATTCAGAACGATCTATAAGACTTATTCATGATTTTTATCCAATCGGCCATTGGTCAACCTTATTGTTATTTCTATTTAATACTATAAAATTCATCAAGAATATTTTTTCCCTTTTTTGCTATTGTTATTATTGTTCAAGCATTGTTAAAAATTAAAAAAAAAAAAAAAAGAGAGAGAGTGAGCATTGAAAAAAAAAAATCTTTTTAGGCAGTTGCTTGATGGTTGTTTGGTTTGGTTTATTTGATTACAGAAAAACACAGAGCGGCTATCCTTCCTAAGGTAAGGAATTGCCTTCGTGGAGAACTTTCTCAGAGAAACTGGCTCGTATCCACGTTACACATAAAAAAAGAAAGCGCTCATGCAGCCAATCCGTTCACCTGAAATCCAAACCAAGTTGAACTGCGAGCAATTAAAGGGACTAAATATTCGGCCGCTGGTGAGTTCGCCAGTTGCTTGAAATACGACAGTCTCTCATACAATTTTTTGTAACTACTTTTTGGTGACTGTACTTAAGGCAGGACCATTATTTGACTATGGCAAAGCACGCAAAGAGTATGTGCATACAGAAAGGGATGCTTCCAGGAAGATCCATTTTACAGGTTACAAATAACGAAATATATTTTGAGAAAACACGTTTTTATTGTAAGGTTGATTGAACCCTCATTTGTTGTAATTATTTACTTTCTGCGTTCAAAGACAATATGAAATGGCAATGTAAACAAATTTTTACACCATTAGTCAGTGATAAATTACAGGAAGAATTGTAATCCGCTAATCTTTCATATCAATATTTTTATTCCTATAAAGTTTGATCATACGGAAGTTCTGTGGCTTAAATGCTAGAATTTTCCTTTAATGAATTTCCGCCAAGGCACTGATCTGTTTTAAAAACATTGCCCTCAAAAAATAATTAAAAATCTGAAGTTACTGATCGAAATTATATTTTTTAACATTTATTTATTCAAGCGCAGAGACACAGATTAAAAGAATTGGCAGCAGTAGATAAATTACTTAATAAAAAAAAACTAGGAAATGCTGTTATTTCCAGCATTCTATAAAAATTGTAGCGATAAAAATTGACTGTGTTAACATATCAATGAGAATCAAGTATTTGATCTTACTTTCTAATATTATATGATAGGAAAATTTTGGATAGAAATACCACTAAATATCAGAATTTTTTTTTAAAAAAAAATCGCATATATTTTAAGTTTACGTTGAGTACTAAAAAAAATTTAGCTCCATAACTTTTGTCAAAATTCTAACCCTCAATTCTATCAAAGAAAGTTAAGTTAAAAATATTTCATGTAAGAAAATGATAATGGTAACAATAACAAAAAAAAATCGGTTTATAAAGTCAAAAATTTAATTTGAAATATTAGTGCTTTGATCTTAAATAATATAATAGCCATTGTAATTATATTTATCCACTGCTTGAATCTTTTATTTTATTTGTGGAAAAAAATATTCTGAAATTTTAACTGCAATATTAGCAATGGATTTAAAAAGTCAGCACCCTTCATATTTAACTGCGGAATGGTATAATTTACATTCTTTGAGGAAAAGCGCAATGTTTTCAGAATCGGGTAAAATTTCACAACTTTCTAAACGTTTCTGGTTGAATTTCATGTCAGGAAGAGGAAAAAAGGTCAAGAATAGGCACAATGAACATGTTTAGAATATGAATAGGTGAATTTTTTTGAATTGAAAACTTGTAATACAAGATAAGTTTAACTGTTCATTGATTTAAAACATAGTAAACTGATATATTCTCTAGTTTTTAATAAAAATTTTCTAAAGTAACAAGCCATTGACATTTTCCCCTGTATTAAAGCAAATCGGATATTTTTCATTTATCATATAGAATCAAATTCCATCGTTATAAACACTTCGTAGCCTAAAAAATAATAAGTAAATTGTATAGTTATTTAGTCCATCAAGCAAGCTTATTACAAAAATAAAAATAAATACCTATATTGCCAAAATCTAAAATAATTTCACTTAATTTACTTCACTGCTTTTTTAAAAACTGACAGAAAGGCGCATTTATCTTGCACAGTATGCAATTAATTTTGACATTTAGTGTCCTTTTTCTGTTCTTTCTTCCCCCCCCTTTTTTTTTACGGAGTGAGAATAATTGCTTTGAAAAAATATAATAAACTAACTAAACACTGCAATAAAAAAAAAGCAACAAAAAATTTACAGTTTTTTTGCAGAGGACTATCTAAAACATACTTCATACATGAATACTTTGTGTGATATACAGATATATACTTTACATGTGATATATTCATATACAAAATACACTTATATTTATATCCAGAAAATTACTTTACATGTGAATTGATTAGTTTATTTTACACATTCTGAAAAATTTCAAGCTGCTGGGTAGAATTTAAGCGATATTTCTAAATCTCAATCAAACGGCTGTTGAAGGTGAACGTCTGCAGCTACAAATTTTTTATATTAAAAAAGTGTGACTCATTTGACAAGTAACCTGCAGTTCCCGGCATTGATGTATTCGTGACCTCGCTTGCAAAACGTAACAGGGAAATAAGTAAACTTACCAGCTAATTCCGTTTCAGTGTTATTCCTTTAACTTTTGCCATTGTAGCAGTTCTCTTAAAACCGAAACATGCTCGAATAGAGCCAACAGTACTAAATTCATACACAAGTCACTGATCGTGGGATTCGATCTGTCGGCAAGCAAGGGAGTAAAAAAGAGTTCTTCGCCACACACAAGCCTAGCGAGTTCTAAAACCGGTTCAAGAAACTAAGTGCCTATGATGATGCGAGATTTTCTTTTCCTTTCTAATGTAATATTTACTTCCCCCGCCGCCAAGCTTGAATCAAGTTTCCATGACGACGGCGAATCAACATCGTGATCGCCACCAGGCACCGCCACTTGCTGCCGGTGGACCCTTGATTTGACACCTGACAGCTGATCCATCGCTAAAACTCCCTATTTGACTGCAGAATGAAATGTTTTCCTGTATCGGTGATGGGAAATAGTGTTTGTTTCCATGTGTATGACACGCAGTGATGAAAACTGTTATTTGGAATTATCCACGCAATTTTATTTTAATGTCATAGCCGGTGCAGTCGCACTGGGTTGTAGAGCTGAGAAGCAGCAAAATTTTTAGGACTTAAAAAGAAGCACAAAGCAGCAAAATTTTTAGAATTCAGGAAAGCATTGGGAAGTAGAATTTAGGGGCGGCGACATTTTTAGAATTTAGGAAGGCAGCAAAATTTGGGATCTGCAAAGATTGCAGCGGGCGGGAATATGTCTATCTGTGGCCTAGAGATGTCTGGGGACATTTCGAGGAACATTTGGATTGGATTGGATTATTCAGTTATGGCAAAGCACACGAGGGCTATCTGCCTAAAGGGAGGGATGCCTTTCGTGGAGGACTTTCTAAGGGAAACTGGCTCGTACACACGTTACACATTGGGAAAACCACGAAAACGCCCATGCAGCCAGCCCGTTCGCGGGATTCGAAACTCAGACCGAACTACCAGTGTTCAGCGTCTTTACCGCTCGGCCGCTGGTGGGCTCGAGGAACATTTGCGTAGGTAAGCAATAGAAATATGCATATTCTATACGTAGAAAGATTCACTTCTACTTTTTACAGTAGTCTTGTTTATAACCTTCAACATATTGTACTACTTTCATTTTTGCGATTATATACTAAATTTTATTGGAAAGGAAATATTCCATTTTAACGCACTATGTTACCATTGTCCATCGTCAACCGAGCAAGAGTAACAAATTTAGGAAACTATTATTAAGAATTTTAATTAGGTTTGAATTAACTAATTATGGTATAGCACTAGCGGATTATGAGTCTTAGGGGGGTCGTCAATAGGAGGAATTTAAGAGAATTTCGAAAATCACAATCGCGAATATCTACAAGGCTCTTGAATCATTAATTAATCTTTTAGAAATCATAAGAACAGGCGATGGCGTCACAAATTGATGAACTATTGCCAGTTACGACAATCTATGTTTTAAACTGTACTACTACATTGTTTAAGACAGCAGCGGAAAGATTCTTAATAATATTTTGTTTCTTAGAAAAAAGGACAACCCTCGCGTGTTTCGCCATAATCGATCAAACAACTTCAGCAAGCGGGAAAAAAAAAACGCAGTTGATAAAACATGCATACCTTGTGAAAAAAAAGTTAAATTGTCATTTAGGAATATCGATATTGTATAGTTATTTATATTCCTCAAATGTCACAGTATAACACATAAAGAAAAGTATGAAGTAATTCAGATAATAAGAAAGTCGTCATAGGAGGCAATTACGATAAAGCCGTATTAAATGCCGATAATTAAAATAGCACAGATAATAAATACAACAGCATTTATACTCAATGACACAGTGCTGCAACTGAAATCATATCTACCCTTGATCTTTACAATATGGTAACTGGTAGTTTGGCGACATTTGGAGGCGATAAAGGTTACTACCTGGGACTTTGGTAATAATGTGAGCAGTACCAGTACCTCCTCCTATATACGTTTATAGGAGGTACTGCAGTCAGTACTCAGTTTCCGATTACGCATTATTTTGTGTGAGGGAAATGAGAGATCATGGGGGATATGTCATGGGATATTAATGGACGAATTACGGTTCTTTAATCGGAAAAGGGGGGGAAATCGGGGGAAAAAAATCTGGAAATTTTGTATTTGGCTTTATTCTGTGTGTTGTGTGAAACAGTGTTGGTTAATTTTTGGATCCCATGGCCGTAACTAAAGTGAATTCGAAATGGGTATTTAGTGGTATTGAAAAGGGTAGTAATAAATGTTTGTTTAAGGTTGTGCGAGATAGAAATAAAGATGTTTTATTAAGTTATTTTATTTTACCTGGTACCTTGTTGTGAAATATAAGTATGATTTTAAAGATCCTGGAACAGAAAGAAGAAAAGTTTATCGGACACATAATCAAGATTCTGAAGAAGATTAGGTAAGTTAGTATTTTTAATTATTTGAGGATATTATTTTTATGCATTGTTCTAAATGTAAGGTGGAAAGGAATTTGGTATTATTGGGAAAATTGTTATTGGCAATGATTTAGTTTAGTTTAAAGTAATTAGGATTGTAAGGTAATTTTTTATTAATTTAATGTATGTGCTCATTTATATTTTAAGTAGTGTTTTTGAATTTAATTATATTTTAATGAAATGATAGTTATTTTGTGAATTTTATGTTTGTAGGAATTTGGTATACGTTTTTAGTTGAAGTAAACGTGCATGGAAATGGAAATAATTTAAATATCTGACACTAAGTATTTGTAATGGTTGCGGTATGAATTCGTTGGTGACGTTTATAATATAATAGATGATTTAGAGGTAAAAGTTTTTGGATATTTTATTTATTTTATATGTGGAAATGTTCATATTTGGAAAGGGTAAATACTTTTTCGCGATCAGGTAATTTCATATATGTTCTTTTTACCGGGTTTAAAGATTGAGAAAATTGTCATGTATTTTCGTGAAATTTTTCTAATTTATGAGAAAAAAGCAGTGTACATGGATATAGTGAAGAGTGTGCGCAATGCCATTTTTGTGCAATTCTGGGATGTTTTTTTAAGTAAAAATAAGTCGACGTGTACATGGTTTAGTGATATTTTAATTAAATAATAGTTATTTTGTGAATTTTATGTTTGTAGGAATTTGGTATACGTTTAAGTTGAAGTAAACGTGCATGGAAATAATTTAAATATTTGATACTAAGTATTTGTAATGCTTGCGGTATGAATTCGTTGGTGACGTGTATAATGTAATAGATGATTTAGAGGTAAAAGTTTTTGGATATTTTATTTATTTTATATGTGGAAATGTTCATATTTGGAAAGGATAAATACTTTTTCGCGATCAGGTAATTTCATATATGTTCTTTTTACCGGGTTTAAAAATTGAGAAAATTGTCATGTATTTTCGTGAAATTTTTCTAATTTATGTGAAAAAAAAAAGCAGTTATGTACATGGATATAGTGAAGAGTGTGCGCAATGCCATTTTTGTGCAATTCTGGGATGTTTTTTTAAGTAAAAATAAGTCGGCGTGTACATGGTTTATGTGTATGTGTTATTTTGAAAAACGCGTAAGGAGTATGGTATTGTGCACTTTTCCCAATTTTGCAGTGAATATTTGTCATGATTAAGCAGTTTTGTTTGATAAAATTTCTAGCATAAGTGTAATTCGGCTTCGTAATAGGGTTCCTGTAGGAGAGTTGGTTGCCAAATTTTCGCCAAAAAATCGCCAAGTTACTATAATGTAAAGATCAACCATATCTACTCTATACCTTTAGTGGAAATGTACTTACTCATTAAACGGTTGGTTGATTAACTAAGGTTTGGTTTATTTAATTATGAGAAAACACGCAAGAGCTATCTGCCTAAGGGGAGGGATGCCTTCGTGGAGGACTTTTTAAGGGAAACTGGTTCATATACACGTTATATATGAGAAAAATCACGAAAATGCCCATGTATACAATCCGTTCGTCTGGAAGTGAACCCAGATTAACTACCGGTGTTCAGCAAATTTACCTCTCGGCCGCTGGTGAGCCGATTAACTAAGACAATAGTTGGCCAATTAAACTATATTTCTATACTCTCTTTTCGGGCAGAATTTCTGAATACAAGCTTAATTAAATTAAGGAATGCAGTCAAAGCTATGCCAACAGCAAGAAGTCAGCGCCCATTATGCCCTGGAATTTTCTGTATGGAACTTTTGCTCTTCAGTGGCTTTGCCACTCCCTTTGAAATAGTTCTTAGTATTTAGTGCAAAAACAAATAAATAACTTAAGAAAACAATATTGTCAAAAATAATCCCCCCAGTGGATAGTGCTTCTAAAACCTGATATCCTCAGCCCGATGTCACGGAGATTGAATGATATTTTTTTGTATTTTCTTCATATGTAAAGCAGCTAAGATCAAATTTCTCCAAGAAATTCCCGCACAGAGACATTTTTCCAAAGGCCAATAACTTTCGAATTCTTTACTGTGGTAATTGCATGCTTCCTTTATTCCACAAATGACAAGAAGTTACCTCGAAGAACCCTTCATATTAGTCAGTGTAACTAAAATATTCTTACCTCTCTCTGCTTTAATAGCAAAAATGCAAATAGATTGTTTTAAATTTTAGTTTTTATTTAAGCTATCTTCTAATTACAAAGTGCTGTTGTTGTTTCAAATGGTGAGACACCTTAAATTTAAAGGAATAACCAATAACCATCGGTCATTTAACCGTCTCATCCCCCCATATTATTACCGAGGATGCGCTGCAGAACAAATCCAGTTCCACGCGTGAGAAGGGAAAATTTCATTCCCAGTTTTTAGACAGTATCTTGGAGAACGGATCAGAGGGTCTCCCACCCCTCTTCCTCTACCACCATGGTTCTCCAGAGAATTTCTAATCAACAATATTTTAAATTTCTCCATCAGTTAAATACTCGTATCAGTTAAAATACTTACAAATATCCAAGCTTTCTCCAGGATTCGAAATCGGTATAAAATACTGGCGATATGCACTTACAAACATCCAAGCCTTCTCTGGGTTTCGAGACTGGAGCCCAACTATAACGGCTGACAGGATATTCATGTCTGTGTGCATATCGATCGGAGAGGGTTTTTTAAGTTCTTTCTTTGAAAATGTAAACTGACTGGTCAATGGAAAGATAAATCGGTAGTTTTAAAATCCGTTTGCAGGCAACTTACAAAATTGTTATATCTATTACCTTTTAATTTTACGAGAAAACGTATCTTGAATAACTGTACGATGAAGCATCATG